GATAAAATGCCCACATCAGGCAAGGGCTTACTTCAGGTCCTGGAGGCATTTGCTAACACTAACTGGCAGCCCAGTCAGCAAACACACTGAGCCGAAAGATGTAGTGTCTACCTTTTTCTTTTGCATAAATCTCACCTAATCCTCAGGTACATATTGTGCTTCCCAACAAACAGATGGGGAAACTGAGGTGTGTCGGTTAAGCAAATTGCCTGAGCTTGCATGAGAGCTGATATTTGAGTCCAGGGGTAATCTAGCTCTAGAACCCAGTCTTTCTGTTACACAAAGCTCCCTCTCTTAATCATCCACAGGCTCCTCAAGGATAGAGAAGGGAAGATACTAGTGGAAAAACATTGTATTTTTTTGAGGCGAGAAAAATCAACTATATGGTAATTAATTCAATTCTGCTCGCTTTACAGGATTATGGAGAAAGTAACTGCCTTCTCAGCACAAACAGTTCTATTCTGTCCCAACGATCCCACACTGCCCTGCAGATACAGCCCTGCGGAGAGCCACGCTGTGTGTTTAAAGGCAGGAAAACCAGAAGACTCTCAGTGAGAGAGGTCATGAAGCAAGAACTCCAGAAATGCTCATTAACCGTTTGAGATCTGTATTACGTGCCTTTTCCTTACCCTGCAAAGTCTGACTTATGTGTTGATCCTAACACTTGTAACTTCCTATCACTTGTACACAAGGAGATAGATATAGAGAGAAACACATGATAAGAGAGGCATCAGCAGGACTACTAGACCAAAATCCACAACTTCAAACTATGGGAAGGAAATGTGCTGTCACAGGGCAGATGTATTGCATTGGAACCTCTGGAAATTGAGGCTGGGATGTTAATTTCCCCCCAATTCCCAGTTGACTATAATGCACCATATTGAATAACAATCACAGCTCTAGAGAGATATTCAAAGAATCATTCAATCAAAAATTCACCTCTGGAGATCCTGTAGAATTAGGGAAATGTACTACCCAGCTGTCTCTTAAAAGTTCATAACTCTCAGCTGAAAATGGTATTTAAGGTGAGGGTTTCAGCCATTTTGGCAAGTTACTCAGTTTTTCTGGGTCTTTCCCACGTATACATGTTATTAAACTTTTGATTTTATCCCGTTTGAAAAAAGAAGGTTCATAAATCTCAGTGAGCTGACACTTTCCATAGTCTCATCATTTTAAAAATCTGGATTTAGGAAGTGATATTTCACACTTTATTATATTAGGATGAGTGGTCACCAATGCTTGCTAGCAATTAAGGGTCTTTAGGTCTTCTCTCTGAATGAATAAAATGGGAATTAAAGGTTTATAGCCCAAATGCCATAGTTAGTCAAACCAAATCACCATGCAGGAATTTACATGGCTGAGAAAACTAAGTTTGATGGAAACGAAATAACATATTTCCACACTAGGGATTTATGCACAAGTACAGTTCTTATACCTCTGAAGAGTTCATCTTTCCAACAAGGTTATTTGTTACTTTTCACATTCTGAGTCCTCCAGATTGCTTCTGAGCTTTGGGCAAACTTGTGTTGTACTTGCTGATCTCACTATGCTTCTGGTAAAGCTAAAAGAAGAAAAGAAACTGCTTTAAGGAAGGATAGTCTGTGGCCCTTCTCGCTGTCACTAAAGGTAAAGCACTGATTTAATTAAAACAAGCATGAAGGAGTAGGAAAGTAATAAAGTGGGTTTGTTTGTTCTTTTTGTTTTGCAAGCTTGAGAGGAAAACCACCTCCAAGATTATGTGAACCAGTGTGTGATCTGGGCTTGCTATAATCTCAGCTGTTAAAGGGGCAATAACCCTATCTCTTCCCTATTTAGCTGCTGAATTTTTTTTTTTAATGGTTTCCATGAAAACTAAGTGGGTTTTTTAGAAGCAGGTAGCTTAATCTCTCAAAAACAAAAAAAGAAAGCTAAGTTGAAAACATCAAGAAAGAAAAGTGAAAACAAGCAAACATGCTGAGTTCAAAATAAACATTTTAACTGCTTAACTTTTGTGAAGTATGGAATGAGCTTTTTCTGTTTTTCTAAATAACTTTAGGGAAGGTTGCATTTTAGGTCATATGTCCCAAATAAGAACACACACCCATAAGCAGGTCTGATCTATGGTGACGACTAATCTTTTGCAAAGTAGAAAGAAACATAAATTATCTTCATAACGCTGATGCTTTTGCATTTATTAAAATTAAACTGCAATCTATCTCCCAACATACAAATTACTGTGACAAGTTAAATGATGTTCCCACACTCCAACCTAATTCCATGTCAGTTGTTTTCATGTAACATAAGTTTGATCATATAAACATTTTGTGAGGCCAAGGTGGTGATAATATATTGTGAATCAAACTGATTTTGAAAAACATGCATGACAGGTTCACATTTCCACATTTACTGAACTTTATTAACACATATAAAACATGTTTTATATATGGGCAAGGACATTCAATACTAAATGGCACATTATCATCTAACAGTTGAACTTTATCAAGAATGAGGTTTTAGAATATAATACACTAATATTTCATGACTATTTGAAGAATTAAATAGCAAACAATTAAAATAACAATTAACAGCAGTTTAAACATACAAAAAGTTCACTGTTTACTATTTACCATAAGCAGTATCATTCCAATACAACTTCTATTTAAAAAAAAAAAAAAAAGGAAAAAAAATATAGTACCATGTGTGTTCTACAGGCCAAAAAAATGGGTGTCTAGGCAGGGCTGACTAGGTGACTCCTGCCCTAATACTGCAGTTACTTCTCTCAAAGGGCAGTGGGTTTAGGCAGTCACTTCTCAGCACAGTGTAGAGTTACATACAGGGTGATCATATAATTTCTCCTCCAAATTAGGACACTTATGAGAGAGGAGGCACTATATAAGGTGAGGAAATGGGAATAATCAGATCTGTTATGAGCAAACTCAGGCTATATATGTCACTCTAGTTAAATACAGTATCAGATGCACTATCATTACCTTTGTGCTTTTGGGGACAGTATAGACCAGTTGAAAAAAATTATATTAAATTAAGAAACCCTGAATTTTTCTCCAACTGGACTTTCTGAACTCCACTTTTCCTGTCATCAGAGGTTTTGCTGGAAATATTAGTGATTATTATCTTAACAGGTTAAAATTTATGAACTTCAAAGGCATGGGATATAGCTTATAGACTCAAAAGGCTAGAGATTAGTATTTTTTTCTATTAAAAAGAGATTTTCATTTTAACCAACTATAATAGAATTTGTCTTTTAATTTCTAAGATGTATCCTGAACACACTATATAGAAAATGTATTTTTACCTTAAATTCAGTTTACTTCATAAAAACATAAAAATGGATTTTTCTGGCCATAACTAGCTTATTCAAATATAATAGAAATAATGTAATATATTTTTTGTATTAACTTCCGAGCTCCAGTTCACACTCATTCAAAAACTGTTTATAGATACCCTAACAAGGATTTTGATCTTCAATCTTTAAGGCAGGGTGCAAAGGCAATTAAGTATCTCCAAAACACAACAGCAGCTATTCTGTCCAAGCTCACAGGAAATGAAGGGAAGTATGTAGGATCTGATAAATCCAGAAGAGAATGTTGTTTTTTAAAATAATATTCTGATTCTCCTGATTGGATGATGAGATTTAAGACTACCAATGAATTGTACCAATTAAAGAGGATCAGGTAACATCACACTTGAATCTTACAGATTTGGGGGGAAAAAAAAATCAAAACAAAAAGTGAAGTTTTGACATTGGGTCAACATCCACATGCAGAAACTAAGTATTAATGCCACAGAAACAAAAATAAAATTTTGATAAATTGATGTATGATAGATGATCTAGATATTTTAACGTACTATGTATCATAGCTTAATTTCATTAAAAACTATTACAAAGAACAAAGTACAGTTCTACAGGAAAATTAATGTGCAATAAAGAGACCTAGCACGAGTTCACATTTCTTCTAAGTAAATTTTAACTTAAATTAATTTCCAAATCAGGCAACAAAATCAAATATTTTGTTTCTTTACCCCAGGCTATTGTTTTACTTCAATGGGTGTAATGCAGGTACTTTAACAAACAATAAAAATTCTAGCAGGGGAGGAGAATAAATGAGGGAAAACAAGAAAATAGGAGGCTCAATTAGCAAAACAAAACATGTTTTATTTATCAAAGACAATGAAATAAATCAGAAAATACAGAGAAATACAAAAAAAGTTATAAAGCGTAATAAATTTTATTTTTTCAGAAATGGAAAAATGACCCTGAATAGTTTTAGATGTACCTTTCAGTAGTCAGTCAGTGTCTAGTAATAAACAAGCAATCAATTTTATATGTTCTATATAGCTGTATCAACTGATTTTTAAGTTTAAAAGATAATTCCCATCATTTTTAATGTTGCATTTCAAAAGCAAAGATATAACTGAAGAGAAAACAGATGAGACATAAAATGATTTGTAAAATGTAGTAGCTTATGAATGTAAAATAGATTCCAGTTGTAATAATATTCACACATACTCTCGCAACACACTCACACCCCTATATTCCACAGACACATTTCCATAACTTGAAAACAGGTATTTCACATATCTCAATTCAGGAAATGATTTTTACAAGCTAATCCTACAATCAGAAAGCAAGAAGCTATTAAAAGCACAAGTTTTTATTTGCTAAATTAAACTAAACATCTAAAGAAAAAAATATTACAGTGATATTTAAAGATACATTTTATTGGCTTTTTAAAAGACAAAATGCAAATGAGAGTATCTTATTCAGAAAATTAATTTTCAAAAATGTCTTAAATGAAATAAATATAATATCTAATACAATCTCTTCCTGAAAGAATCTTTAAGATGAACAATGCTAAAAACCAAACTTCTCATTTGAGAAACCCTAAAACTGTCATGTCCCTTTAAAAAAAAAAAAAAGATTTTCTTATAAAGGACATGTGGCATACCCACATTTTCTTAAAATTTGTCCTAAAACTATCTTTAACACCCAAATTTTTTATATATATATTAAGTTCACTTAATTTAAAATTAATGAAGAGATAGCTATCTAGACACAGTTTCTAAGAAAAAGATGCAGAAAGTAATTTATGCATGGTTATTTACAGAAAGTTTTGCTAAATAATGATGTAAATATTGGTTCAACAATCTGACAAAGCCTAATAATCAGCACTGCAGGTTTCAAAAAACTTTATATATAACAAAGGATGTTTCATGTGTAGAGTTACTAGATAAATCTAAGAGGCAGAAACTAAAGTATATGACATGGTTAATAGTTTCATTTTTATTATATTAAATGTCAGGTCAGAAGTCAATGGCATTTACATGCTGGAAGACTGTTTCTCACTCAACTCTTTCAATTATATCCAACACTGATTAATCAAATGTGACTGCACTTTACTGCTACCACTTTATGGTTTCTTTCAAGTATACCCAAATCTTTTAAATGGGCACATATGCAACTGTGCAAAACATGAAATATAAATATTTAAGAGAATGAACAGAAATGGCTTTTAAGCATAAACCACTCTGCCATTCAGTTATAAAGCTCTATCTTTTCCTCACTAATTTGTCTTCTGCTTTTAGTAGTCTTCTATCTTATTAAAGTTGCAGGTTTACAGACGATCTGGAAATTTCACATTGATACAAGAAAGGAATGTCTGGTCGATGCAGTCTAGGGACAAAAAGAATTAGCCTTAAAATGTATTAAGTTGCAATTATCTAAACGACAGCATAATGAAAACCGATCTTATAAGCAGTATTACATCAAGTATATAATATCCTTTTGGTAAGAATCACATAAGGTAGCATATATCAAAATATATTCTAAAGTTTAGGTTCCTAACCATCTAGAAAATATTTACATTAGAGTTTAAACTCTTGAAAATGCAAACAAGGTAATCACACTGAATATTCACAGAATATCATTTAAATTAGTAAAATTACTTTGCCTTTTATCTTACAGGTAATACCGACAAACTCTTAAGGTCACTGCTTGTAAAGACATTTTACCAGTTAAAGAGAAAATGTGACATCTTCTAGGGGGAGGAAGAAACCTTAGTGGAACATTTAAAGTGATATTTAAATATAATCCAGAAATGCAATTGTAATCATTGTTCTCTTTAGCAGAAATAAGTAAATCATGTCAGCTTATGTAAAACTCATATAAGCATAAAATTTAAGCAACCAAATCACAAACCATACATTTTATTTATACTTAAGTCATAGCATTTTGTACTTAAAGATACATCCAGAAGTTGTGTTTTAGTAGACATTTTGCTTATGCAGTTCAACTACTTTAAAAGTTCAAATCAATGAAGTGTATGGTACTTGCTTTAAAAGTATCAGTAGTATAGCGAGTAGAGATATGAGGTCTCTTCATGTGAAGATCTACTAGCTGCACAATAAATAAATGCCTTTACTATAGACACAGCCTCCAGAAACTCACTGGATAACCAGTAAGACAACCTCTGCTCATTTCTTTATATTCCCATTTATTCAAGTTGCAGCCTTCGTTGTTGATACAAACTGGCACACATTAAGAAAATAGTAAAAAAGCTCCTATTTTCTTCACACAACTTTTATTCATTGATCCAGTTTGTTAAGATCAGTGCATGGCAAGTTGCTTTTCAATCACAGATTTGTTTTTTTGTTTGTTTTATCCACCAGATATCTATGTGAATTTCACACTGTTTTATGCAAAATGCCCATTCTCTCTGTGTAAGTGCTTTGTCATATTTTGTTTTTCAAGCTTTCAAATGCTGTGCTGGTGGTTACTTCGTATACATCCTGTGGTCAAGCTTTAAAAAGAAATTTAAAAGTCTGATTTAAAGTTTCAGTTTACTCATAATACATTTTTAAAAATTAAAATGTATGAAATTCAATTTTTAAAAATGGAAGTTATCTTAAAAGTTCACAACTTCTTAAATTTCAGTGACTGTTAACAGTATAAAAATCTATTAAATATGCTGAATTTGAGTAAACAACGAGTACACATTAAGCATTTAATATGCATCTGGTGAATTTGAATACAAAAGGAATAAACAATTAATATATTAATATTTCTTACCTCTATAATAAGAAGAAATATCTTGTTCTATGAGCAGCTGCCATGCTTTCAGACATGTTTCTGACTTTTAGATAATTAACAAATCCTCTGAAGAAAAGAAGCAGGCCTGAGAAGGTTGAAATAATACAGAGATGTTATGTTCTTACACAGAAAGGGGACACAATAAATTTTAGATAGACAATTATAAACAAGATCCTCTTGGTCTAAGGAATTTAACATGTAGGATTACAGTCATTCCATAATATATTTTATATTATAATGACAACTCTATTGTAAGGAAATATAATAAAATTTTACTGCCACCCCCAAATTCTTTCAATTTGTTACACCTAGATGTATCTAAAGTAAAGTAAATCCAGCCACAAAAATCCAAAATTACGCAAAAATACACACTTACTATTTCTTAAAAAGCAAAGCTACCTAATGCATTTAAACTGATTCAACTCATAGAAATCCCATTTTATACCAAACTTTTTAATTACTATAACTACCAAGCAAACTAAGACATATTTACTGATATAAAGTATTCAGGAGAGAACATATGCATGTAATTGCTAACAATTGTGGGATAAAACCAATAACAAGCCTGTCTATCTATCTCAGTGTTCTCCTCTGTAAAATAGTATTTTTAAATAATAATCATTTACATTAATAATCATTTATAATAATCACAGGTATCTTTAGTAATCCATTAAACAAAGCCTGTGAAAAGCTTCAGAGTTTCAGGTGAAAAATATTAGCTAAGTATAAAAAGCATTACAATTATTAGTAGAGCTAAGTCTTTGATATACTTAAGCATACAATTCTAAGGGCAACATTTATTGACTCCAGTAAATTTTTAACTAGGTAATGGTGGGCGGGAGGGCAGGGACCAAAAGATATGTACGCATGCAACTTTCCTCACCAGGAGGAAGAGTCTGTCAATTTAAAATGTAAAGTCTCAACTGAAATTTGTAACCCAATTCTAAGACAATAATAGAAGCACTAAAATAAGAAGCATGGTTATAATAAATTAGAGAGGAAAGATAGAAGAGATATACAAATAATGACTTAAACAAGTGGTATAAGTTTCACCTAAATCTGATCCCATCTGCTTCCCATATCCTCTTTCCACTTGTGACCCCCACTCTGAATTCTCCCCTCATGCCCTTCCAGATGCTGTTCAAAGATAATGATATTGTGATCCAAACGTAAAAGTACTACTGAAAAATGTACACCAAAATTATTTGTGAAATCCTTTCTTTTGTCTATGAAGCTGCTGATTCTAAGACATATTTTGTTCTGCTCAGGCATTTTCCAAAATAAGCCAATTCACATCTAGAAACCGATCACTCAGCAGCTATTGTTTCTCAGCATTCTATGATGTGCTCAACACTCTTCTGAGTATTATGTGAGAGGAACATTTTGATCATGAATTAAGTTTTCACATTCCCCTAAATGCTAGATTATGGCTCTGATATGGAACTGGGGCTGCCCTCTGCATTCTACTCTGTCTCACAGTTGCCTTCCGAAGGCTCCTCAATCCGCTAATAATATTTATAAGCAAGTACCTCATTCAATATGCTTAAATACCTAAAAGACTTTATCAATTTTTTCACTTTTAAGGAAGAAACTCAATAATGAGCACAGAATCAGTCAGAAAACAATTAACAATACAAAAAAATGGCTAAACTTTTGTACAAGTCTGACTCCCCAACAAAATCACAACATTAGAATAATTTCATTATAATTATTAGAGAAACAATCTAGGATTTTTAGTGACCTTAACCGACCACTAAGATTTTGTTTCCCCAAAGATCCAAAAGATGCAACAGCAGGACTAAATATAAACTCAAGGAGAACACTGCCACCTACTGAAATGCTATTTTCTGGTATATTATGTTACTAGAGAAATGTGGGCTCTTAAACCTAAATAGAAACAAAATGTATTCTTCATGTCAGTAAATAAATTTGAAATGTGGATTAAAGGTATCATGTGATTTTAAGATTAACTTAATTATCATATATCTAAAGAGGAAAACACAAGGGATCGGAAATCGGAAATCCATAAAATTCATCAATATTAATAAAAGACATGCCTTGTAAGAAGAAAACTCAACAGAAGTACTGTGATCATTAGGCATGAAGCCTTTCCTTATGCCTGACTGATTAATGATTAATGCAGGGTACACTTCCAAAGTGTAAAGAATGTTTCAATGATCCAAAAATAAAAGAATGGACAGAATATCCAACTATCCTCCTCTCAACACTTCCTACGATCATTAAAAGAAAATTATGCATGTATATTTTCCAAAATAAATGCTGAAGGTAACTATTTTTTAATCATTTTAGGATTTTCAAGTTTTGTAGGATTGACTTATCATTCAACCACTGATTCTTTAAATTGACAGGCTCTGAATTTTAAATCAGAAATCCAGAATGCTACATAGAATTATCTGAATAGTCAAGATGATATAAGTGTTTGGATATGAGAATTTTACAACAGGAAAAATTTTTTCCACATAAATTATAAAACAGTATATTTACATCTCACATTTTTAGAAAACATCAAAGTTAAACTAAATGCAAATTAGTCATACTGAAATGCATTAAGAATAAACTTACCAAGTACAAGAAATATCCACCAAAGCCAATACTGTCCATTGAAATATCCAGTAAAATAATCAGAAAACTGTGGAGTGAACATAAATATATTAACCGTATTTGTGTACCTAAATTTGAAAATCACAAGTCTTAGTTTCAGAATGATTTACCTCAAATAATCTTTAGCACTTAAAACAGCACAAAAAGAAAAACAGAAAAAAAAATACTTAATGACATACACATATAATTATTTGAGAAAAAATAACAGCAAACACACTTATGCAAAATATTTTAGAAACAAAAAATAGTTTCAAACTGCTTGTAAAGAAGAAAGATAAGTGCTATATATCTGAATCCAACATTTTCTCATTAAGGAGTTCACATGTCAGTTCTTTTTTCATAATCTCTCAAAGCCACAACTACCATCCCAAACACACTACAGCAACCTGCTGCTTTAGATATTAACACCAAAAGCCACATTAGTTTAATCTTATCAGATGGGGATGTTCTGCTGACCCCTAAAAAGAAGAGCTTTTGACCTTCTATACACCCCCTACTGTTAATCACTGCCAAGAATACTAGGCACATAAAGACCCCCAACTCATTAGAGTCTTTTTATTTTCAAACTAGATGCTCCAGCATTCATTCCCCAACAGTGAGCTGAGAACAGCTAAATGAACCTTGAAGCGGCATTTCAACAGTTCCTATTAGTGGCCGTGGTAGCCAGTTTATATTCTCTGTGAAGTGAGGATATGAACAGGCAGATGGAAGGCAGTTTTTGATGATACTGGACACAGGTATCTTTTCCTTGATTAGACTAGGGACATGATGATTTATTATCTTCGAAAAGTTTTCTTTTTAAATCAGTCTAATATTCCTGCTTATTTAATCTACTCTGTTTCCATTGGTCTCTGAACCGAATCTGATTTAACTAAAAATGAGCTTGTTAAATGCAGATTTGTCCTTAGATATATCTATCTCCAACTTTATAGGTAATTATTTCCAACCATTCATTGGTAATTTCCATAAAATCTTAAAAATCTTATAGGTGTGGTTATAACAAAAATGCTTACAAATTGTAATGTTACTAGTGAGGAAGCATATCCACTAAAGGTTATCTAAATCTGTTTTTAAAAGCTTTTAAATTATTCTCACAGGAAGTATTTACAATATATGAACCATGATCTAAGTTCTCAGCTTAGAGTTTTAGAAATTACAAAGATTAGAGATTTCAGAGTACCATCATAGATGAAAATCCCACATACTCCTACACCTTTAAAATATGTACAATAAAGGGAGAACTAGAAAATTGTGGAAATATAGCTTGTAAAGAGGAAAGCACTACACTACTTTTTAATCAAATGATTAATAATTAGAAATAAAAGGTTTTCATACAGGTTTTAGAGATTATAAGAACAAAAGGAATAAAGAACCAAAGCAATACATTTTTAACTTTCTAATTTTTAAATATATTTAAAAATATATATTTCTAATAGTTAAAATATATTTAATATATAATATTACCCAACAAGAGGCAACCAGAAAAGAACAATGTCATTCTTCACCAAAAATACGAACCTGCAGCTATTCTTTATTTATTCCCAAGTGAAGAATAGAATTACCTTCACTTTGAAGTCAAAGGGAAAAACTCACCATGTAAAAAGGATAAACTAATAAGCTTTTGGGCTCATTACTAAGTTGTCAAGTGTTTCAAAATACTAAAAGTCATAGGGCTGAGCCAAGCTGTGTTTTTGGTTTTTTTTAAAATAACTAAATAACTCATGTTGACTGGTCAACCACAGGCTGCAGAAATCAAATTTTGGAAAATAAATTAACCAACAATAAGAATTTATCTGATTTAAATTTGAAAAAAAAGAATTCATCTGATTTTATTTTATTAATACGACACCAGTATTTTATTGTTTACATCCTGTCTACTTTCTAAAAGACTTGTCAGTTTTTAATAAAATATATATGCCTTTTAAAACAAATAATAGAAACATCAAAAGCCTTAAAAATAATATCAGAATCTGGGCTAAAGATATTTACACTAAATATGAGGTTTGCAGCAGCTCAGAAACAAAAAGAAAAGCAGCAGTTAATTTATATATTGCTTATTATCTAATGAAAGGAAACACCAAGCTTTCAGGAGAAAACCTTTCTCTCAGCACTGAACTACAAGGGAAACTTATTGCCTTAAGCATTATAATAAAAGTCAAAGTACAGTGTTAACAGAGGCAGTAGAGAATTAGGAGAACAGGCACTGAACTGAAATCAAGCTAGATTCAAATCCACATACAAACTGTGGGACACTGAGCAAGTTATTAGACTTTTTATTCTTAGTTTCATTATCAATAAAATGGCTGGCTTGTCTCCAGCATCACTGATACAGACAGGGTTAAAGAATTTAGTGCCTGTAATGAATTATGCCTGGAACATAGTAAGTACTCACTGAATGGTGGCTACTGTTATTTTATAACAAAAGATTTTTTTTTTTTTTGGTATGTGGGCCTCTCACTGTTGTGGCTTCTCCCACTGCGGAGCACAGGCTCCAGACGCGCAGGCTCAGCGGCCATGGCTCACAGGCCCAGCCGCTCCGCAGCATGTGGGATCCTCCCAGACCGGGGCACGAACCCGTGTCCCCTGCATTGGCAGGCGGACTCTCAACCACTGCGCCACCAGGGAAGCCCTATAACAAAAGATTTTTAAAAATCCTTCTCTTATATCAATTCTCAATATATACTACAGGTATAATATTAACCTTAACTCAGTAAAAGTATTTTAAAAGGAAACTCAACAGTCCCAGTGATTAAACTTGACGCTCTTATATACCTTACAAAACGTTGAGAAACTCCAGTCTTTGAATTTAAGGTCCCCATCTTATCACACTGACTGGAGTTGATTACTAGACAATCTGACACCTTCTCAACCTGGGATTCTAAGAGAGAATTAGGCCCTAATATCCTAGAGGCAAAGGTTGCATATAATGCACTAATTTCTTTTTTATGAATGTAGAATGATACTAGCACTTCAATAACTTTAGGAGAATTGAGAAAATCAAATCATTTTCTGTGTTCTGTGACTTAGACAAGAAATCTCATTTGAATAATTGCAATTAATTCTATTACTAACATAACCAAGGTTGGACATTACCTAGTTCCAATCTCTTTTGAGATTTTCTAGTAATAACTTCTGCAAAGGCAGGGGCTGTCTCTTTATCTCTGCATGCCCCATAACACCTAACAGATTTATGCTAATAGTGGGAACCCACTCTACATTTTTTAAATGAAATTGAAACAAGTAATTGCCAGGGGGGCAGTTCTTACAATGGCTCAGGTTTTAATCACCTTAGAAGAAGCCAGTCCACAGGTCCCACCAAGAATCAACTGTTTAATAACCAAATCCTATAATCTAGTCTGAACAGAGACAGGGTCTGAGAAGATTACTGAAACCCTGGGAAGTAATAAAATAAGTTTAAAAATAATGAAGAAACACATAAAATTCAAAGTTTTAATATTTTTATAATGGGTAATTTTTTAATCTATTTGACAATGTAGGTGCATAACTGAAGTGTCTGAAGCACTTAATAAAAGCCGACATATTAGTATTTGATTCTACTAAAAATTTCAAGGAGGACTTGACTCATTCAACTAGAAATCAATGTTTAAATATATATGATTTGTAGAAAGTATATATTTTATTAGTTGTATATAGCATTTAAATGTGTGGGTAACTTTTAAGAAGAGTTATTAATTAACAAAGCCACTTTCCTAGCCTTACCTAAAGAAATCAGGAGAAAAGCTTTGTAAAAAGGAGCCAAAAGGGGCCTTCAAGAGGCAAAGGAAAAGAGCTGGGGGAAGATTATGTTAACAATACTACTGCCTGTACAACGGGTACAAAAAATTATTCGGGGGCTAGAAAAGCTGTTGAGATAGGAGAAAGAAAAGGACTTCTTGTTATCTCCCTACACACTACCTTGCAAATGATACGAGATAGACAGAGGGTGATTTCCAGGAACAACAGGAAAATGAGAAGAAAGGCTTAGAAGGAATGTAAAGGAAAAAAGGATGAGTTCTCATAACCACCTCAAAGGCCTGTACTGTACTCTTTTAGCTCTTAATGTTACCAAAAAAGAAAAAAGAAGAAGAATAAAAAAGAAACAGTGATAATATATTTAAGTCCATGATAATTTCACTAACCAATGGAAATTTTTATGTTTTAAAACTGATTTTAGGCAGACCTACACTATATCACAATAGTGGTAGCCATGATTTACTGAGCACATATACTGGTGCAGCAACTGAGCAAGGTAATCTCAATGTCATGTTCATGCCTCACAAAAATACTGAATGGCAGCTATTATCAGCTTAACATGAAGAAACTAATGCTCAGAACAATTTAAAAACTTAAAGTTAGAACACTGATATACAAAAAGATGAGATTCAAACTCAGATTTATCTGATTTCAAAGTTCTTTCCACTTACTGAGACTTCCCTGGTGGCACAGTGGTTAAGAACCCGCCTGCCAATGCAGGGGACATGGGTTTGAGCCCTGGTCCAGGAAGATCCCACATGCCGCAGAGCAACTAAGCCCGTGTGCCACAACTACTGAGCCTGCGCTCTAGAGCCAGCGAGCCACAACTACTGAGCCCACACGCCTAAAGCCCATGCTCCGCAACAAGAGAAGCCACCGCAAGAAGCCCACGCACCGCAACGAAGAGTAGCCCCCGCTCACCGCAACTAGAGAAAGCCCTCAGGCAGCAACGAAGACCCAACGCAGCCAAAAATAAATAAATTAATTAATTAAAAACAAACAAACAAACAAAAAGTTCTTTCCACATACTAACAAGCTCTCATATAATACAGTCATAAAATGTCCACGCCACAGAGATCACTATGATAGTTAAGGACAGAAGTTAAGAATAAGTCTCAAAATAATTGAGCTCATATACACAAAATGAACATTTGTGAACCACATAGGAAATTTTATGTATTTTAATTTTAGAGACAAAAGTGATAGAGCCTATTAAGACACTCACCCTGACAATAAGGATCCATTTGATCAATGAAAGGCCAAATCCACAGATGGCACCATACCTTCCAGCTATGGTATTGGTGATACAGAAGGATAAACAAAATCCAAGCCAGTTGAAAATAAATGCCACTGAAAGCAAGAGAAATAATTCTTTTAAAGACCACACTTTGGAAACAAATTAACAGAGACATAATATAAACATCAATAATACTTCATAACTCAATGGAAATAGCAGTTCTTTCTCTTAATTCTGTACTAATTAAGTCTTGTTTATAGACTATAGTTTACCTTTTGCAAATGTATTAGTTATTTACTATACATTAACAAGTGGGTAAGCTTGGTTTCTTGTCAGTTTGGTCAACAAGAATCAATACCTTACAGCTTATCACCAAAAGGTGAAACTGCATTTTTTTTTCTTTTATACATACATTTGTTATTGAAGCTGCATTTTTAAACCAGTTAAAAATTAGGTCACAATGTAGCTCCCATGTGATCCTACCCAAAAAGTCTAGTCTAAGCCATCATCAGCCAGCCAAATTAAAAAGCAATATTAAAGATGAGCCGAATAAATGATAAACTATTGTTCCCAGAGCAGATACTGTTCATTGCCTTCTCTTCTTACCTAACAAAACCTGTTGTTCCCCTTCCCAGGAACCCACCGACCTCTAGAGCCTGTATTTTTAGGAAAGGCTGGACCCCATACTTAGCCCCCAAAGGTGAGTCCTGTCTGGGAAAATCACAGAAGGCCCAAATCCCTTGCCAGTGAATTTTTTTTTAATAGGACATCTGAAAAACATTCTTAAAAACACAGCGAGGAGAGGCAAGATGGAATATAGGTAAAACAACAGTGGTTTTGAATTGATCATTGTTGAAGCTGGGAGATGGATACACAGATGTTTATTACACTCTTGTCTAGTTTGAGAATTTCTACAATGAAAGTTTTTTAAAAAGAATAGAAGAAACGGCCCTTCTTCCACTGGGTATCACGTTTAACTGTAATGTCTGGAACTGCTGCAGGGAGCTTGCTATCAGCCTGAGGATTAAACCATCACTCCAAATAGTGGGGGAGTGAAGAAAACCGAAGTAAAGTAAAGCAGAGCCATAGCACTGATACGGTCTGTGCCTGAGGTCTGCTCATCCAGGGACTTTTTGTTTTGTGAGATAATCTCCTAACTATTTAAAACAGTTGAGTAAGGGTTTTCTATTTCTCATAGCAGAAACCATTCTGACATAGGTCCTTGAGATATAATCAGAGTAACTTATTTACGTCCAAGACAGCAACATCATCAAAATAATAATAGTAATAATAATAAAACTAAAGATCAATTTGAACCTAAATCTTGTTCAGTGCCCAGCCTCTTACCCTAAATATCTCCAACCAAGCCTCAGGGAGAATAAAGTAAATTACCTAGAGAAATTCTAGTTTTTCAGAATTCTAAAGACAAAGAGGAAACATTTTAGGATAAGTTTAAATGAAATGGCTATTTCTTCGAAGTAATGCCCCTACTCCTGTTAATTTCTTCCTTCCTAATACTTTCTAGTCGCAGCTTTTTTGATCATTTATGGGAAACTGTACTATATGGTGTGATAGTCAGAAAAATCAATTTTGAAATAAGAGACTCGTGTTTGAGTCACATCGTACTCACTCACTAGGTATATGACCTTGGACTCACTGCTGACTTCTGTTGAGCCACAGTCCTCTGATCTTTAAAGTACCTACTTCACAAGATTGATAAGAGGATTAAGTGAGAATGTAAAGAGCTTAAGCATAGTACAGAAGCTGGCACACGGGTGACTGCTAAAAAAATGCCAGCCATCATCACTACCCATACAAAATGATCTCTTCACATTACAGACTAGGTCCCATCTTTCCTGCAAAACAATTTCAAGAGACACTACTATAAAGCAAGCTTGTTTACTCTCTACTGTACTGTACAACAGAGATAGGATATTTCCATTATTGTAGAATAATCTATTGCACATAGCCCCTCTGTATCAAACTGGCTAATATTTGTGTTAGGTTAGGGAAAGCACATAACAAAAAATAATTTTATACCTATTTAAACTAAAGAATTTATATTACCAAACAGCAGTAGAGATTCCCAACTGGTTGCTACCTATGTGTTAATGACAGGCTGAGATATGTCTCTCCTCAGCCCTTAGGGCAGGCAGGTGAGGTCTGGGGCAGAGGACAGACTGCCACCAGTCCTGAGCACCTTACTTTTTTATCTCAGTGTGCTATAAACAGTCTATCATTTTGCAAGCATGTCGTGTTGTTGAAACATAGGAGGCACTGATGGAGAAAACCCAAAACAGCAAGACATTCCAAAAGTGTATTTTCACCTTTTCACCTGAGTATGTGTATGTTTAGCTTTGGGGAAAAAATAATTTAAACACTGTCCAATTTCTTCAAAATCAGATTTACCGATATCTATTATATGTATCATTGTAGCCAAGAGAGAAATAAGATTCAAAAGAACAAAAAAGCAGTTAATGGGCCACCATGTTTTCTTTACGCTCTCCTCCAGCAGTATGAATTCCTATAAATTGTGCTCATGTGATATAATTTGTTATAGACTGAACTCTGTCCCCTCAAAATTCATAGATTAAAGCCCTGACCTCCAGTGTGACTGTATTTAGAGATAGTGCCTTTAGGGAGGTGGCTAAAATTAAATAAGATTATAAGGGTGAAGCCCTAATACAATAGGATTGGTGTCCTTATAGGAAGAGGAAGAGACACGAGAAAGCTCTCTCTCACTGCACACATGTAGAGAAGAGGTCATGTGAGGACACCACAAGAAGACAGCCAACTGCAGGCCCAAAGAGAACCCTCACCAGAAACCAAATTTTCTGGCACCTTAATCTTGGGCTTCTACCCTCCAGAACTGTGAGAAAATAAATTTTCATTGTTTAAGCCACCCAGACTGTGGTTTTTCGTTATGGCAGCCTGAATAGACAAATGCATAACTTAATCATCTTTGATCGGTTTAAGCACTAGGAAAACAGAGAAGTTGTGACTACTGAAGCATAAATAGATTCGCTTTTTATGCCCCTTGGCCTATAAGATAGAAGTAAAGCTGAAGAGGTCTTGACAGTACAGGAAGAGCAAAGCATTCAATTCTGGATCCTCTATGACATGTCTGTCTCAGTTGTCAAAAAAGAGAATTTAATAAATTGTACACTAAACCTTAAGTATGTAAAATCCATAAAAGAAATAATGTGTAGTAGAGGCAGGTGAACATATACATGCCTAAGAAAGAAGACAAGAACGGAAGGACAAGTTAAGACTGAGAACAGTTAGGCTCCACACAAAGTCACAAGCCAAGTAAGAAGCATAGCTGGGACTGGAGCATCCACGTCTTTTATGCCTATATCCAGTGATCTTTTTATTATATACACCTACCACCTACCCAAAGAGGTTAGCAGAATAATCTAGAAAGCAATATTGTACACTGTAGTTTATCCATTAACTAGTAAGGTTACACTTTAAAATTTTCAATAGCCACAAGATAGTTATTAATAATAAAGGGGAAAAGAGTAACTTCATAGTGAAGAAAGCTGGCGGACACTACTTAACCTGACGGGAGTTAACATCACTAGTAATAAGACATATCTAGATCATTGCTTCTGATTTGATGTACTGAAAAGAACACATCATTTCTGTGGTATTCTTGAGGGGGGAAAAAGAAAAAAAGGAAAGAAATGCAAAACCTGAATCTAATCATGAGGAAACATGAGCTAAATCCAAACTGAAAGACATTCTACAAAATAACTGACCAGTATTCTTCAGAAGAATCAAAGTTGTAATGAAACAAAGAAAGACTAAGAAACTGTTCCAGGTTGAGGCAGACTAAGGAAACACAGAAACTAATATAATGTGTAATCCTGAAATAGATCCTAGATCAAGAAAACTAATATAATGTGTAATCCTGAAATAGATCCTAGATCAAGAAAAGGACATCAGTGGGACAACTGGCAAAATTTGAATAAGGTCTACAAACTAGTTAGTAGTATTTTGTAATGTTAATTTCCTAATGTTGATCATTGGACTGAAGTTACATACGTTAACACTTGGAAAATGAAAGTTATATGGCAATTGTACTATTTTTGCAATTTTTCCCTAAATTCAAAATTATTTCAAAGTTTAAAAAGTTTTAAATTAAATTTTGATACTTGCTTTGAAAATAAACAAATGAGTATCATAAATGAATGAATACCAATATACTAACATTAAGCACTTATTAATTTTTTTATCACAGAAAAATCATTATATATAAATGCACCAGGTTTCAAACACAGTAAGTTCCCAAAGAACAATCAGTTTCACTATACTTGATTCTGAACTGCATAAAGGCAAATTCCTATCTTATCCTCATGCAATTCTCTTTGTTTAAACTATCAGCCATTGAGAAAAACATGAAGTTAACAATTTATTAATTTTAAGACATTTCCACTAAATTATAAGCAATGAAATGACAAAATTATTTTTCTTATAAACAGAACAAATTCAACAAAATGTTCACAAATATTATGAGTTTCTTAAGGTGTAGTTATAATTCTTAGATGTCCCCCCTTTCTGGATTCACTTACAGTATGTGACCTCATCTAAAAACATAGCTTTACATGAACAGAATAAGTCATCAATGCATTGTTTTTCGATGTGTAGTGCCCAGATAACCCCTCTAAGAACTGTCACTTTTATGACTCATCCATGGTAGGTACTTGAAAGAATTTACTGAATAAAGATGCTCAAGATCACTAATCGTTGGGGAAATGCAAATTAAATCACAAAGAGATACTACCACACAACTGTTAGATTTCTAAATTTTCTTTTTTTTTTTTTTTGCTGTACGCAGGTCTCTCACTGTTGTGGCCTCTCCCGTTGCGGAGCACAGGCTCCGGACGCGCAGGCTCGGCGGCCATGGCTCACGGGCCCAGCCGCTCGGTGGCATGTGGGATCTTCCCGGACCGGGGCACGAACCCGTGTCCCCTGCATCGGCAGGCGGACTCTCAACCACTGCGCCACCAGGGAAGCCCTAGATTTCTAAAATTTTTAAAACTGTTAATACTAAATGCTGACGAGGATCAGAGCAATAGGAACTTTCATTCACTGCTGGTAGGAATGCAGAACGGAACTGAAAGACAGTTTGGCAATTTCTTACAAATCAGAATTCACGTTTCAAAACACCTTTCTAATTCTTTTTAAAGTTATGTACAAGTAACTTAATATCTTTTAAATTATGTTTCCCTCAAGTCTAAAATGGGAATAATGCCGGTGATTAATTATTACTATAGCATGCTGACGTGAAGATTCACACACAGTACGAAAGGCTAAACCTTAGTAAAGTTTTCTAAACAGAATCCATTACATTTTTAAGCATTAGAGTTCAAGGTCATTTCCACAGAATGTCAATTATCCAACGAACCAAACCTCAATTTCTAGATTTTAACTAACATATAACTTACTTCTATTCCATTCTTTTAGAGACAAAATCTCTTAAAAGTATGCTCAGATACAAGCACATAAGGCACACATGAGGCATTTTTCAGTGACACTTCAAGGGATTAGGAGAAGCAAAACATTATCAGGGGATACACACATTTCGTTCTTTACATTTTCTGAACATGGACAAGCAATTATCTCACCAAATCTACGCGTAAACGTTTTTTTAGGGTTACATGGGGTAAGAGACTGAACTATAGACATTGAAAACAGAGAAGGAAAGAATTAAACCAACAAAAGGTTTTAACTGAAATATTCTTATTGATAATCACTGCAGTTTTACTTGCACAACTTGTATAACCTGAAATGCTTAAATTATAAACCACGCTAAAGAAAATCTATTTCCAGACCTTAGAAATAGACAATAGAACAGAACCTAGACAACAGCTACTGGATAGTTTAGAGTTTGGAAAATATAGCAAGTTGCAATTTGTAGAACAGCCACTAGATGGTAGTGACTACAAATAAATCTATGCTCATTAAAGCAAATAAACTGAAGTACTGGCCTACACCCTACCCAAAGAAATGTATCAGGAAATGAAGGTGAAAAATAATTTATAATCTCACTCTTATAATACTGGTGCAGTATTTGTAGAATAGGAAGCATAAAGATATAAACTGTAGAAACATAATTTAGTAAAAATGTAATAAAAGGCCGGTAATTTACATTAATATATTAAATGTAAATATTTATATTCATATTAATTAATGTAGCACCAGTGGCCAAAAATAAGGTCAACCTTATTTTTGTGCCTAGGTTACTGTGCATTTACAACACTGGTGTATCAGTGAAATGCTGTCAGATCTAAAAAATAAAGATTGATAAGAAGATAGCATGGATAAGTGAAATATAGAAATGGAGAGATAATAACTAAGCTCTGAGTCAAATAATTAGATGGTGTCAAATAACATGTTTTTATTCCTAAGAAACAGGTATTTATACTAACTACAAATAACTACAATAAACTTAAATTCTTTCTTTTTCCAATGAAGATTTCTTAAAAGACATAACCATGAAAGGAATTAATGTTTACGCTACTCTTTTTGTAAAGAAAATATGTGGGAAGCCTGTTATTAATATAAAGGGTTACCAGGTTGAACTTAAACTAAGAAAAAAATTAAAGTTCACTAGCCTAACAGTACAAAACAGAGTTATTTGTAGCCAAAGTGTTCACTTCCTTTTCATCATACTTAACATCATATCTAACTACAAATTATAACTAAAACCACAAGACATAAATATTGCATATACAGGGGGCTTCCCTGGTGGCGCAGTGGTTGAGAGTCCGCCTGCTGATGCAGGGGGCACTGGGAGGACCCCACATGCTGCGGAGCCGCTGCGCCCGTGAGCCACGGCCACTGGGCCTGTGCGTCCGGAGCCTGTGCTCCACGGT